GGCAACAAATCTTACGTCTTGGCACTGGGGCATCACTTCGAGGCCCGAACAACGGCAACAAATCGTACTTCTCAGAACTGGGGCATCATTTCGAGGCCAAAACAACGGCAACAAATCGTACTTCTTGGCGCTGGGGCGCAACTTCGAGGCCAAAGCAACGGCAGCAAATCCTACTTCGTAGCAGTGGGTCACCACTTCGAGGCCAAAACAAAACGGCAACAAATCGCACTTCTTAGCAATGGGGCACCACTTCGAGGCCAATATGCCTATGTTCATCTTCACCTTTCCTTTAATACTCGCCAAACGAATTCCAGATGAAATGGCTGTCACGTCTTTTGTCCTGACAATGATGATGGCGATTGCAAGGTGTGACAAAACAAACAAATGCTGCTATCTTCGTTCGCAACCCCACTCTCATCTTCCGTGATATGCTACGCCACTACACGAGCCGCGCCTCTTCCCGGACAAGTCTTCCTCTGCGGCGCGTCCATCTTCAAATGGTGGTATTTTCATGGCAAGTTCCTCAAGCGTCGATTCGGTAGCCGAGGTCGTCCGTGCCAATTTTTTCAATGTTGCTGCTTGCTGTTTCTCGCGAAGCTTCTCTTGGACAATCCGGAGCCGCGGAGCTTGCACGCCGTGTGCAAAGCCAGCCCAGAACCTTGCAACGGGCGGACAAACGTACGAACGACGAACATGTGGAAATCGCAAAGCTCTAATGCTTCGGCAAATGCTGCCCGAGAGCAGCGGCTGCTGCACCGTGAGGATTGCTTCTCCTCCTTTTGTCATGTGCTCGTGGACGATTTGGAAAACGTGACCTACACCCGGGTCCATCTCGATGATGCACGTCTTTTCCTTGCAACCGTCTGAAAATGCGCGACACTTCAACAAACTGCCAAACGTCTTTGCAAGTGGCCTTCAGCAAATCCAGTCCCTTCAAGACATGTTCGTACCATTGCTTCGGTCGCTCCGATGGCAAGGCTGCATGGCCTAGATGCGGCGCATTCGGCGTGCATCTGCATGCACCAACATGAAATAGATGCATGGCAGCTGTGTTTGATGGGGTGTGCATGCAAGCAGCGGTTCGGTGAGTTGGCTGGGTACAGCTTCGTCTTCTCATTGGATGCCGTCTGGCTCGGAGGCAAGGAATCTAGGAGCATCGGAGCTGCAAGAACCTTGGAGCAAGTGTTGCCGCCACGATTCTCCGGCTGGTCCTCATGACAAAACACACCGTTTGTGACATGTACCCAGAAGCAACACGTAAATCACTTTCGAATCACCACCATTAATTATTCAAAACATGGGTCCTCCGTCGCACATCCATGAACAAAAACGTGCGCGACGACAATCGCACCATCTCCACTCTTAAGCAAAATCTGTCGTCGGTACAAGCTTCCTGTGGAGACCACATTGGCGAAAACAATCTCTTGGTCTAGAGACCTACCAGAATGGTCCACGTCACTCAAGACGATGATGACTCCTCGAATGTGCACGCCAAATTCTCGGAAAATACTACTCGCTCTGACTTGCATTGCTGCCCGCATGGAGCCGCGCCTCGAGATCCGATGAGCTTCTGAGCAAGTTGAAAAAGCGTCACGGTCACACGTACTAGTGTGGCGTCCCAAAGCAATATGATGTCACTCGGAGAGCTGTCGCTCATCAAAGTTGTGCAAGCCCCAGCCGTGATCTTCTCTTGCACGAGGCGCCAATGCTGCCTCAAGTTGCTGCTCTTGGGAAGGGTTTTGGGCAAGTTTCAACACAGACAGACAGACAGACAGACAGACAGACAGACAGACAGACAGACAGACAGACAGACAGACAGACAGACAGACAGACAGACAGACAGACAGGGCGCAAGTTTCAAGACAGACAGACAGACAGACAGACAGACAGACAGACAGGGCGATGGAGGGAGGTGGTGGGAGAGAGAGCGAGAGAGAAGAGTCAGTCAAAGAGACAGAGAAAGGAGATAAAAACAGGGAGAGAGGAATAGAAGGACTGAGGCAAAACACGGAAGACAGAGCGAGAGAGCCAGAAGGAGAGAAGGCGAAACGCAAACACAGTGGGGGAATGCGGTTTCTTGGTGGTTGCGGGGTTGCCGCTCTACTAGACTGATAAAGTGTTCTTACTTTGGGCTTGCCCTTGTCTTGCAGCTCCGCTGATGCTCCGATGCTTTGTAATTAAGGAACAAACCTGCATGTCTGCCTTGCACATTGTAATGTTGCCCGGCCGCCCGGCACTCTGGCGAATCGCATCGCCGACCTTCTCCTTTTTCTTTGCCACAAGCTCTTGTGCTTCTTCCAACACGGCTGGAAGTTCCTCCAAGAATCCAGTGCTAGAAACGAGTTGTAAACAAATCTGGCTGCTTAACAACAGACACCTTCCCACACGGTTGACTCGCGGTGAGCGGCACTGGAATGCACATATCCTGAACATCATTGACCTTCTATTTACTGAAACTCTCAACCCGACAACCTTTGCGATCGGAATTCTGACTCAATGTCGTCAGCGACAAACCTTTGGGGTGCCTTACGGAGTCTAGCGTGCCACGCAATGATGCTCTTCGTGTGCTTGTCCCGAGCGATCGCAGCTGCATCTTGTTCGGCAGTGGCCTTCCAAACAGGCATCAACCGGCATGCTGCAAGAAGTAATTAAATTTTGTCACATGCCCCGAAACACAACGACACCGACAATCGCCTCCAAGCCGGGCTTCTCCGCCAGGTCAGTTGCTGCCAGCTCCTTGTCGGCTTGGGCCACGTCTTCTTCCTCAGGCAAAGGAGAGACAAAAGCGTGGAGCGAGCCACAAAAAGAATGCAACTTCCGTGTGTGCTAGTCCCGAGCCATGTGTCTGCACGAAGGGCTGCTTGCGATTTGTCGAAAGCTTTGATGCATCGCCAGTACGGCCCACTTTCTGACGGGTCTACACTGTTTGATATCTCTGAATCCAACATTCCCGTCAAGAACTCGCTCATCAAGGACTCGTACCTCAGTGCGACGATACGAAAGCTTGCATCTCGAGAATGAGCAGACAACACTCTGGGTTTGCTACTTAGCGATGATCCAGACAAAATGCGTGAAGCCTGTGCGCTTCCTGGCGCTTGCCACCGCCAACAACAAGCTTCGTGCGTAGGCGGCCCATTTGCACCGTTCGTCTTCTTTCAGATTCTTGTCCCTGCAATTGACGTTTGCATGTGTCGTGAAAAAGGTTTATGCTCTGAGACGCCGCTGCAACACTGCCCACACCTGCATACCGTTTGCAAGTTCTCTCGATCACCCAGATCCAAGTTTCTGCTGTCTGCAATCTCTCCCATTGTGTGTAACAGCCGTCGAAACACCAACAACTGCGACTCTGCAGTAGCGAAGGGCTGACTTGCACTCTGCGTAGGTGCGGGTAACAGCAGCTGCCTCAGCGGGAGCATGCACGCAGCTGCTTATCTGAAAGGCGCACAACACAGTTTCTAAGGCGGGAACCTACTTCGGAACCAGCTCTGCGGGAAAGGGTCCCCTGAGATACCTTTCTGGCTGACGAACTGGTCGATGTCCCTCCAAACTTCCGGGTTCACCCTCGTGAGTTGATTCTTGAAACACTGCCTCAGCGACGCGGCTCGCTCAAAGCTGCAACTTCCTGTTTTCTGTCCAACCCGTTGCTATATTGCAATAGAGACGATATTGAGCTGCCGACCAATCATTGATCCGTTGCGCAATTTCTGGATACAATCGTCGCATGTGGCTCTCAACCATGTCGTACTGCAGGTCTAACTCGAGCGTCTGCAGAATTAACTGTAACCATGACGTCTTCACGCTGTTCTCCTGCATGGATGCACTGGTTGCGTAGCCTTTGGCCACCATCACGGCTCTGGTCATCTTTCCAAGATGCTGCACACGAACACGGCACATCTGACGCAACCAATCTGGCAGCTCACCTTGCTTCCAATGAAAGTGACATAGCGCCCACAGTGCGACTGCGCGGTGGTGGAACTTCACAAAATTTGGCTTTTCGCAGTCGTCACCTTCGATGGTACAGACCTTGGCGCGAAACCCCGCATCTCAGGACATCCTTCTTGCCTAAGCCCTAACAAAACAACGCGCGAGGCGGCCAAGCATCCAGGGCAACGTCCCACTCCCTCCACGTCTTCGCTTCTTGCAATTGCTTCGCAATACGCAAGAGGTCCACGGCACAGACCTGAAGCACAAAGAGAGAAGTGGTGAACTGGGATCGAAGGGTCGAGCTCGGACGAAGGAGGGTGGCGCCAGCAGGACAACTAGAAAAAAAGAACAGAACTGTTTCCAAAACAAACAAGATCACAATTAGCAGCCTTATTGTATTGTTACGTAACGACAAATGTCGTTACAAACATGCGTCCGGCATTCTTTGAACAGAGACACCAACACCAAACCCCGGCCCGGCTACTGAAAGACACAGACAGGAGTCAGGGCCACTGTGCCCGGAGGCGGCCCATGTTACGAAATACGCTGTATTTCCTAACGCCGACCCCACAACCCCCACATCAACCGTAACCGCTGCTTCAAGTTTTCCCGCTCCAGGAGAGAGCCGGTTACATGCGAAGAGGGGGGTACAGGGCTCAGACCAGGAAAAGCGGCGTTTTCTGTAACAGCTGCTCACATTCATGTCGTTGTCTCCTCGTGAATTAAAGATACAAAAAAAGTCCTGATTGTCAGTGCATCAGAGCAAGAAACAGCTTCACACAGCCTTCTACGGGAGGAAACGGTTCTTACAAAAAACGCCGTATTTCGTAACGCCCCCCCATCGGTTGTTACAAAAAACGCTGTATTTCGTAACGCTCTCCCACCGGTTGTTACAAAAAACGCCGTATTTCGTAACGCCCCCCATATCCCCCCATTGCGTGTTACAAAAAACGCCGTATTTCGTAATGCCCCCCACCTTCCAGATCTTACAAAATGCGAGGTTGCTTTGCACCAGACCCAAGAAACCGGCCCAAACCTTGCAATCAAGTTTCCGCGCGATGTCCAGAGCGGCGCGAGGGGTCGTGACGGAAGTCTAGCACTCCCATGTGCACATGCTCGTCGGCATCCTCTGCAGTCGCGGTGTCACTCGCCAGCTGTTCCTGCCCCAATAATCAGAAAAAAGGCTCTAATGCACGATTTATGGGAAACAGGCGGGTCTTGAAACCAAACGAAACCAATATAAGCTGTGGAATCCAGGTTTTTTGGCCCGCGCTGCACGTCCCGGGTCATTTGAGGCTTTGCTCTGCGAGCCGCCCGGGCCCTTCTGATTCGTTGCCAGAACCTGTCGCGCACGATCTTGCGCCCGATCTGTCCGAGTCGTGTCATGCTGGATATCCGCTGTCCATTGCTTCAACGTGTTCGCGTATAGTGGAAGCCTGTAAACCCCGTCAGCCGATGCGCATTTCTGCAAGAATTCGGCTGTTTCCGGTTCCAAATCCGCTGGACAGTACCTCTTCCGAGCCGCCTGGATGAGGCGCTTTCCATGTCCTGACTTGTGCAGAACTCCTCTCTGGTCCCTGGCCGCCATGATGCCTGCTATGCCGTTCAACAACCACGATCGACATTCCTGGTGGTACCGCTGCAACCTCGTCACGGTCTGGGAAGTTTTGTTTTGGCGAGGCAGCCGCCCTTGTGCCCCCAAGAGTTCATCAGTCACCAGCTTGACAAAAGGATCATCCGCGAAGTTCCTCGGCTCATGGACTTGTAAACTAACAAAAACGTCAACAGCCAATCAAAACAGAAGCCACGATGGATAAAACCCTGGTCATGATGGTCTTCAGCATGCCTCACACCAGCAACTGCAGCTTGTTTTGGTCCCGAATCGCCGTGGGAGTGACTTTTAGTTAATTTCACAATTCGTCTGGGCATTGCTGTTAATACGTGTGTGGTACCGAGACGGTGTTAAACTCTGAATGCCCACAAGACACCCCCGGATGCCAGCCACACGGAGCTGCAGACGCTGGATTATCGTGCTGCTTGCCGCACCCTGGACTGGGTCAAAGAGGCCTTTGAACTCCGAAACCCATGACTCGACAATCCCCTCCGAACCCACAAGCCGTCGTGTCCGGTGAAAGACACGGTGGACGTGCCAGCACCGTGTCGCCACCTCTGCGTCAGCCTCCAGATCGACCAACATTTGCCTTAGCCAGTGCACAACGGTTACGGTAATATGGAATTTTTTTAAGCTTCAACGCATGCTCAGCCAAGCTACCGTTCATCAACACAACCATGTTCATCCAGCCATCGCGATCGCACTTCAGCATTCTCAGCTTTGTGCCGTACATTGGACCACCAACGATTATACAACTGCAGCATCCCACGTGGAATTGGCCAACGTTGAAAATTCGGCGTCATGCCGAAGCTTGGCTCCGGCCAAAGAGTGTGCAAAAGATGAGGTCGGAGCAGCTCGAACAACTCCACGAAGGCATCCCGCTGGCCGTCCGTGGGCGATGCCCGGTCATAGATTGTGTGCATTGGGAATGCATCCGCAGAAAGAAGAAGGACTCGACCCAAATTATCGTAACACATTTTGCCACCGAAAAATCCTACACGAAGTTCTTCAGCCAGCTTCCGAACGAAAATAATGCTCGCATCAAGCCCTTGCAGGAATTGCGTCGTTGCCGCAACGATGCGGCCCGGCACCCTGCAAAGCCGTGTCACGGACACCTCGAGATCTTGGTTGTTCTGCCAGCGCAACTCTTCTGTGTCGGGGGACCTCTCTCAGGGATCAATACACTCATGTCCCATTTAAAACTCAAGGTCCCCGAAAAGCGAAACACTTGCATTGTCTTGTTGAGCTGGCCTCGTCCGAAAACTTTCTACCCATTTGGCATTAGGAGTTCGGGATCGGGCAACCCAGTGCGGGACACGATATTGGCACCCACGCATTGTGACCCGAGCCCGGCTCGTTATCAACTGGCCGCCACGTGCAATGTGGGTCGTTCCCGGCACGCGCTGAGGAAGGGAGAGGCACTGACAAGCAGGATGCACGTGCACCCCATCCAAAGGGGCAATCACTAAGTCGCACTTCTGCATGGTGCCTTGCAGAACGATTTCGGCCATATACTTGTACCAAATTGATGGAAGTTTTCGGGCTGCGGGGCTTGTCAACCATGCGCTCCACCACATCTTCAAGTCCTTCTTCACGAGGTATGACCGCACAAGCACTGTCAGGCGCACAACCTGTTTGGTCTTGGATAAAGCCGCAATGAGTGAGCAAGACTCTTCCTCGATGAATTCACGTAACTTGCGGTGGCGAAGCCAAGGCGGGGCATCCAGGTCTTGCATGAGGTTCGCTAATGGTTCGATGTGGTGCTTCAACACGGACACAGACACCTGTCAATACTAAATTCACCAACGCAACATGCACACACGGGAGGTAAAACACACCTCGGGAAAAGAATTTACAAGGTGTGCTATCTGCCAGCGAGCAGCCAATGTGAATGCCAGCGTGCATGCATTACAGAGTCGCTCCCCGAGTTTTTTCAGCTCAGCGAAGCTATGTGAACCACGTTGGTCCAGCGACATGCGCATTTTGGCTACCAGAGAAACCTGACGAGTGGCAGGATGCAGATCAAACACACCCACACTTACACACACACACACACACACGCACACATGCACAAACATATAAACACACAAAGAAACAAGGATATACACACAAGTGCATGCACAAACAAATAGACACACATACATACATGCACTTTCAGATGTTGTAACTGGTTTCTTCGCCAAGAGGCATAAAAATTCCTGAATTTTTGCACTAGCCGCTCGGGCACCCCGGCTAGATAGACTATCCGCCTAGTGCCCGCTTGCGTCCTGCAGGTCAGAAAGTCCAATTGCAGGAATGAAGACACAGCACGGTCGATGTGCCGCCCATGCGCCATGCCGAATATATTCTCCAAAGCTTTCGCCAAAGAGTTCCTGGGTAGCAGCGGATAGTCTATCTAGCCGGGGTGCCCGAGCGGCTAGTGCAAAAATTCAGGAATTTTTATGCCTCTTGGCGAAGAAACCAGTTACAACATCTGAAAGTGCATGTATGTATGTGTGTCTATTTGTTTGTGCATGCATCAGCGTGCTTTCGATCCCTGGTCTGCTTTCCTTACGAACATACAATGATACTGTTGATGGACAAAATCCTGCATGACCCAAATATAGTATAGTACCATAAATCCCATAGTTTTGGTATATAAGGTCATGCAGGATTTTGTCCATCAACCGTATGTGTATATATAATATATATATATATATATATGTATATATGAACTCAGACATGTCGCATCTCAGCTGGCAAATCATCTTCAAGACAGCGACGGCTGCAAGAGTCGAAAAGATGGAATGGGTCCCAGAGTGTGTGATCTGGAACATGAGTGCCCATCAAAGCCTCCCAAAACATGTTTAAACCTCCCGTCGACGGGTGGGTTGCCGCAGCGCCCCCTCTGGCCAGGGCTCCGTCCCCACAAGCACATGCGATACGGGCTTGCAGTTCCTTCCGGGTGAATACCTCAAGCAATGCGTCACGGATGCGCGGGGCAGTAACTATGCCTCTGGAATCTGACTGTTCGTTGACCGCATCGACCAGCACTCCACGGCTGCCACCTGAACTGGGCCGAAAAGAAAATCAACTCCAACGTACCCCACCCAACTGTCATGCAAAAGGATAAACATGACCAAACAAGTTCTGGATGCTTTGAATATGCAAGACACTTTCTGTGGACAGCACAATGCCCACGAGCAGCACAGTGTCGCGTGCTCTGCTGTAGTATTTGCCGATTGTCCCGGCATCGGCCACAACTTCTATGTCAGAAGCAATACCCAGTGATGGCACTTTCAGCTGAAGCGCAGCCTTCTTCAAGCGACGCCTGGGGCATTTGATGTAAGACGCAATCTTGAAGGGACAGAAACGCAAAAGAACATGTGAAGGAATAATGAACAGATGAACGTAAGCATGAACAAAGAAAAGAAGACACAAATGAATTTAAATGTCTTCTTTCGATATGTTGCATGCGCAAGCACCGATGCGAACGTGCTGGTTTCTTTCCAGCACATTCATGCAACGCACAGCCGAAGTAGACCCACAAGACAATATCTTGGCAGCCAAAGCACAACACTGTCATCGATGCGGACTCTGCCAACGGCGGGAACGCCTTTGAATGATGAACCGTACCGATGGGAACTTGCAGCTGGTGCAAGTAAGCACAGTTCTCCTCAAATTCAAGAAAGCTCCTGCCACGCACAGCATTGAACAAAGCTTGGCGCACCAATGTCATCATAACATCGCGTTCTGACACCATAGGCCCAGTTTGCCCAGCAGTTTCTGGGTTGCCAGATGCCGACGGCTTGAGCGGCTTGCGAGTTGGTGCATCCAATCCAGCTTGACATATTTTCTGGATGGTTTTCGTTGGAACCCCGCATAGCCCCCCCACTATCTGGTCCACTGTGGAGCTGCCGTCACTTACCCCGAAAGACACGACATCTTTCCGAAGTGTTGTTAAGGTTTGCCGAGGCAGTTTTCGCAAAACGGCCGCTGCATTGATGATGATGCTTTTGCACTCGTCACTCATGGCGGGCTTCTTGATGCCGAAATATGGATTTGCACCCTGGCCCGGTGTCCAAGCATGGGAATTGAAAACTTCATCCTCGCTCGGACCATCTGTGCCTGCTACAATATCGACCAACTTTGTTTCCTTCCTTCTACGTTTGCAGTCTGGCAGCTCACCTTCCCCATGTTCTGGGCCGATGTCGCCCACTGGGGCCAACCTTGTTTCTGCAGCTCGCGGCGTGCCCAAAGCATGATCTTCGGTCGGTTGTTCTTCGGCCGGCTGTTCTTCGGCCGGCTGTTCTTCGGCCGGCTCTTCTTCTGATGAACAATAGCTGACATTGATACCGAAAGACCAATCTGAGTCATCCATGGCTTGGAAAGCCCTTGGTAGGCTTAGGATTTTAATTGTGTATCCAGGCAAAGACTGGCATACGGCGGTTCAAAGGTACTGTCTCATGGTGCTTCAAGGATGAATAAATGTGTGATTCAGGGAGTCGATAAACGTGGTCCGTCGGTCTTCAAGGCATGCCAAAATCAAGGCATTTTCGCGCATAGCAC